GATCACCGGCTCTGAGGAAGACGAAGACGTCGAAACGTTAGCCGAAAATAAATATATTTATCAACCTCGTGCAAGCTTATCAAGAAAGAATACATATTGATTAGTCACACCGAGGTTTAGGGAGGGTCGGTTTCAAAATATTTTATAGTTGTATTGAAATCACCCACTTGGATACCTGGACAGCCCTTCCTCACCGGTTGTGCGGGTCTCAGCATATTTTCGATTCTTCGGAGTTTCGATGATTTAGTCATTGTGTTTCGTTGAGGTCCTGGGGTCAATCCGGCCAAAGTCTGCCCTAGGTCGTCACCACTACAGCGAGTCGCTGCCCCTGTGAATCAGACGGAGAGTTGCCACCACGCGACTAGTTTGATGCCAGGACGGTGGTGGATCTTGATATTGGTTTATTCCTAGCTAGGCTTCTTGATGGAAACGCCAAACTCCTCAGCTAGAGAGACCCTGCCGAGAGGTTGAATCACCCAGTTGTAAATCGCAGTCCAACACCTTGGAACACTTCCCAGCCACGATGAAGCGGTAAACCGCTTGTTGAACTTATGTCACAGAAACTCAGTCTGTTTCTGTGTTCTCTTTCTTTTTGCTTTCAAGTTTATACTTTATGGTATTAGATCATTAGAAAACTTCGATTTCGTTTTGTAATGAGAAGTGATCCACTGTTTTTCGTTAATTTGCTCTCATTGCATAGAATATTCGTTCGTCATTGTGTCGTCTGCATTGTCTATGATCGTCGGTAAACTAAGCGCCCGTTAAACCACCATTAGGGGCAGCCATTTGTTAGGATTGTCTAGAGCGCTACTTTAGGAAACACGAGCAGTACTAAATTTATAGTTAATCGCTTCCTTGAAGAAATTTTACCGCTCTAAATCTGATCGTCCTGTGGTAAAATGAAGGCGAACCGTTCGACTTTGGTCATCTTGTAATATTTGCGACGTCTTAAAGTCAGCCTCTCACGTATTTTTTGCCGTCGCTTTATTGAAATGAGTCGAAGTAATTTGTGGTAGAAGCGATGGTGGCTATTTGTGCCCGCACGAAAACACAACAAAGGTTATATATGTACCACGTTTATTTTTACTACAGAAATGGAAGGAGTACGCAAGATGTGGGTTAATCCAACACAATAGAGCCAGGAAGCATGGCCACTCCATCGAGCTACATCTTAGAAATAGTGCAAGCTCCTGCTCATCAGCGCGTGCGACCGTCGACGAAGCTACCTGACCTTAGGTGTCTCATCTAGTTCGAGCTTCTAAAATTTATTATTTCTATTAAGTGACCCGGATTCCTTTGTATCACACTGTGTGAATGCCAGCAATGATTCGTTTCGTTTCCCTCTATTTTACTATCTGCGAAGGTTTCGAACTTCTTTTTACATGCGGGTTTGGCAAGCGCTTGAGGATTTTCCTCTTCTCACACATGTCGTTGAATTCTAGTCAAGTCGATTCGCCCTAGGAACCCGCGATGAGTGCTAGTGCGTCCAAAGGTGGATTAAAGGGAGTACGATTGCTTCAGACAAGTTTACTACCAATCGGTCTAGTCGATTCTTCTTGGAGTCCTAAGACAGCCGTGCTAGAGCGTTCTCACCTGAATTGCAAAGAGTGACCTTTTCCCAGACAGGTCTGGTAACAATTTCTCGATCATGAAAGGATGAGAGGCTTGCTGAGCTAGAGGAGGAGTCGAACCGGCACCGTACTCTTGATGATTTGTGTTAGCACAACTATCCATTGACATTTCGTCTGTCAACGGCATAAAGCTACTGGGAAACTTTTGCTTTTTTCCTCTTGTTCATGCCATAGATTATTTTCGAAATGGACTTTCATTCATAAAACTGTCTATTTTACATTATCCTGGGAGAAACACTGAATATTGGTGCTGGTTCAATCCCGTCCAGGGCTCACCAAGCCTCTCTTCTCTCTTAGGTCAGGAGATTGCTAAAAAGTCACCCTCTGCTATCCTAATGTAAACGCTCTAGCCCGGCTATCTCAGGACTTTTGGGAAAATCGACTCGAACAGCATTCAACGACATTCAAGATGAAAGAAATGCTCTTAAGGAGCAGCTAAAGCCACACGTTAAAGGTGGAAGACCTTCGTGGATGATAGATACGAGGAAACAACTCGAATGCTAGGAGTGCTAGGATCCGCACAGTAGGTGTGAAAGACGAGTCGTGCAAAACAAACTTACATTACTCTTTTAGTGATGATTTTAATTATTATTTTGTTTTCTGCCACTTAGAGCAGAATTATGATAGCTGCTTTATCTTTATTTTTTAACAAAGAAGTAAGCAAATACAATCACTAGTAAGTGCAAGCAAAAAAGGAGGGAAATCTGAATAAGGTGCTGCTTGGTTGGCAAGAAGTGAAGCGGGATATTTTCGCTCAGTTAAAAATCTCCACAGGTTTCTTTTTTTTTACAAAAAATAATCAGTTGACTTTTTTAGGCGTCAATTTCTCAGAAGCTCAAGTCCTCAACTACTTCACACAGGTAAAATCAAATAGATATTTTAGTAGTTTTTCTTCAATTGGCAACAGTTAGAATCATTAAAAATCACTCTATTGAATATCGATTGAATAATTTACTACTCAGGAAAGAATGAAAAGAAAGCGTAAAAGGAATGTGAAAGGTTGTGGATGATTATGGATTTCAGATTCTCATCGCTCTTAATCATATTCACTCAAAATCGATAGTGCATAGAGATCTCAAGACGCAGAACATTTTATTGAATCGGTTAGTTTTTTTTTTAAATATTTCTATTTGTTCTAGTAAAATTTAACAGCTAATAAGACGAACACTGAATGGACGTCTCTCATTTTTACTCTCTTCTCCACTCATTATTTCCACTTCTTTTCTTTCTTTCTCCTCTTTTTTCATTCATACCATGTCTTTTTTACAATCATAAACTTTATTTTCTGTTTCTTAATCATCTAAGGAACTGCTTCATATTGCAATGCGAAAACCTCTTGAATTGAAACGGAAAACACAAAGGTTGTAAAAGCAGAAATTTTAAATTGCATAGAATGAAATTGATTGACTTACTTCATTATAATTCTGAGATATTTGCAAAACTCCGGACCGAAGGTGTTTGCGGTGGGGAACGAACGCGTTATTGTCCTTTCCGGAGAGTAACGCGTTCACCACCACACTATGCGTGTCCTTCGTTTCGCCTGCCTCTCAGCTAGTTCTATTGAATCCAAAATGTCTATTCTTGATAATCATCCCGAAGTTGTCACTATACTATTTTGTTAGTAATAGCTAACAGTAGAAAGGTATGATTTATCTGATCTCTTGTGTGCAGGTTCGAATACATCGGCAAAGCGGGTAGACCACTCTATGTCCTTTTAGAAGAACAGCTAGTCGGTAAGGACACAAGGGCATAACGGGGAAGACTTTGAAGTAGAAGTTACCGTCCTCGCGAAGAAATCGAAAACACCAGCGCGCAAAACTCTCAAGGCATTCTTTGAGTATTCCACTGAGTACATGACATGGACACTAACCGCATAGAGTTCACATAGAAATTGGTGTGTGCGAAGGAGCAATTTTGCTTGTAATACTATCAAAATCTAGATGTTGTGATTATTCTGTAGGGGTTATAGTGGTATTGGGCTGACTAGGTTCCAGTTAGCTTGACCCTCTTAAGCTCTGAAAGAGGCGAAATCTGCCGATACATCAGCTACTACTTATAAGTAGTATAATAACATCCTTGTGTGTGTTTACCAAGAAAGCAACGACTTATTGATCAATTCGAAGGTTAATAAAAGCCGGCCTTAAAAAATACTGCAAGAATAAAATTAAAAACATCATTCAGGAAAAAGACGCTCGTCAAGCTCTCTGATTTCGGCATCTCAAAGGAGTTGACGACACGAAGTTTAGCGTCAACCGTCATCGGTACACCAAATTATCTCAGTCCAGAAATATGCGAAGGTTTGCGACATTTATTTATTCGCCTTATTTATTTGTTCCGTTTTACTTAATTCAATTACTTCACTCTATGTTCACTTTTTGTATTTTTTTCACATGAACCGATATCACATTTTGTACGCATCCCAGCACTTCTTTCGTTTGGTTCGACTCAGGAGTGATTGAACCAGGCTGTTGAGAGTGGTTGCTGAATGACATTCCTGCCACTGCGCTACCCGCCTTCTACAATGTCCTTAATTTGTATAAATAGTTATTTAGACACTCGGAAATGTATTATATCGAGGAATCAACGAAAGATTATCCATAAAATCTGAGAAAGACGAAAGAGATAGTTACATTTGTGACATATTATTATTACTATTGTAGCAGTGTAACATTGGGAAGTAGCTTTTAGGACCAACAACTTTACTGCTATTCATGTTTTGTTTACTTTCCTTTTTAATATCGCTATAAATAAGTGCAAAAAAACTTTGGAGTTAGAAGGGATTGTAGACATCGATATACTATTTTTCATTATGAATAGTTCTGTTAGTTTAGTTTTTCTCAGCTAGTTCTATCGATCAGCGCCATCAGCAATCACCCGTCAACGGGATTGAGACAGGCGTAACGAAGGACCTGCATGGTGTGGTGGTGAACGCGTTAACCGCTGGAAAGGGAAATGGCGCGTTCGTTCCCCACCGCATACACCTGCGGTCCGGAGTTTTGCAGATATCTCAGCATCGTTGTGGTTGTATCACACATAACACCCTGCCGTAAAAGAAATTGTAATAGGCAGTAAATACAAAGTTAGCAGTTTCGTCAATATTTTATGTTTTATATTATTTTTCCAAGCGAAGAATATTTATTCGATTAGAATTATTCCATCATATTCTGAGAACTTCAGGAAGAGCGTATAATCAGAAAAGTGATCTTTGGTCTTTGGGATGCGTTTTGTACGAGTTACTCGAACTGAAAAGAGCTTTTGATGGTGAGAATTTGCCGGCTATCGTAATGAAAATCACTAAGGTAAGCTGAATATTCATGGAAAAATCTGAAAACAAATTGAAGTAACCATCGACTTTTAAAGGAAGAGGTCTAGGAAAGACGAACATTGATTAACATGACATCAACATGTCTTGTTAAACAACAACTTTTCCATTAATGAGCAGCGGCTCATGAGGCCACTGGTCCAACTCTAAACAGCAAATTTTTTCTCGTCTTTTTTATAAGCTACAATCCTTTACTAGCTCTTCTTACAGTGCGCTTATCCTCAAATTGGAAGTCATGCTTCATCTCAAGTAAAAGGCCTTGTAGATACACTTTTGCAGCTTAACGAGAGAAAACGACCGGACACTAAAGGTATGAGAAGAATAAAAACCTTAACAAAAGGAACTATGAAAAATTTTCTCTGGAAGAATATCTACTTAAGTAAAATTACCTAAAAAGAGAAAAAATGTAATATAAGCCACAAAAAAGAAGTAGTTGGACAGAAACCTTCAATGCTCATGTTTTTTGAAAGAGACGAGTTCGTTGTTTTGGAAAGTTATCATGTTTTTCTGAAGTCCTAGTACGAATGAGCGAAGAACAGTCATAAAGAATAAATATAAATACGATTTTAGACGAACTTTTCTTTTGTTAGCCGATCAATATTATGGTTATTTAAGAGCTTCTTACGTGCCCTTTGATTCTACCGATCACTCTCACACTTCACTTGGACATTGGCCGTCTCTCTTTTCCACAAAATGATAAGGTGCAAATTTTGCTTCCACTTAAATATTCCTATATCTTTGGTTTGCATAAAGAATATTTGTTCTGATTTTTTAACACTTAGACGATTCGCAGTTCTAGAACAGTCGTATCGAAATATTCTTAGTCCGTCAGGACTCCACAGGGTGTCGTCAATCCTTGAAGATCTGATGAATGAATGTTTAATAAGCTTACCGTGCATGTGATCGGGTTTCTGCAAAGATGGCTGTTATTCGCTTAAATAGTCATATATGGGTATTCTGAATAAAATCTGGGTTTCCTTACGAATCGAACTCCTGAGCTTTGAAACTCTGGTCTAAAGTTCCCTCTGCATTTCTATTTCTTACAATTTCGTTGCCCTTATTGATTTATGTACGTCCATGAATGTAAGTGTCAATGCTTAGTTTCTTCTTTTTGATGTTAAGATGTAGTTGTAAAATTTTTTATTGCCTCCATGAGACCATACTTCTTCAGCGTAAGCCGAATGTGAGCGGTCGTCTACGAACTACACCAACCTCGTTGACAAGTCGAACAGGCCATCAGTTTGTGAAAATTCAAGAGGATCCGAGGCGAACCATGCGATGAGGATTGCGACGATCCGACTCCAAAGCTTACAAAAGAATAAAGCCTATAAAACAGTCTGAGTGGATTTACGTTTTAAACGATGAATGCCATGAATCAAAAAAGGGAAAAACTAGACATTCACAAAAGGAAAAGACCCGGTAGAACAACCATTTATTTTGTGTGTTTATATTTCAAATAGAAAAAAATTGCTACCATATGTGGAAGACCACACCAGACAATCTTCGACATCTTAGGCAGGCAGGGTCACCATTGCCACTACTCTCCTCTGTCGTGCGTCAACACAGCCATTGTGAATTTCTTATTCGGAATCACCGAAACATAGTGGTTATTCCTTCAGGCACTTTATTCTTCTTTAATAAATAGACTTTGCTTTTAATTCGGTATAACCCGTAGCTCTTCGTACTTTCGACATGGTGTCTTCGTCGACGTACCGCGTCGAAATTTATTCGGTGGAGCACCGCTCGAACGAGGGAACCTTATCGGACGATTCCCTTTTATATAGGAAGGTTATTGTTGATACGATTGTCCGGCGATACGATTGATATGTATGGAGTGAGCAGGATGAGCGGATTTCTAAGTTTATCATGACGACCGAGACCATTCATGGCAAGTCGCAATTCCAGAAACCCCACCCTCCACGTTGGACGCGAGAGTCTCCCAGTGGAGAGTACCATAATGAAACCGACCAAATCCTACTAAATAGAAGGTTTTGCTTCGTATTTTTGTTGAGCAAACGCGAGGTGTTACTATTCTTTGTTCACGATTAAGCTGACGTTTCGGCGGATTTCGCCTTCTTCAGAGCCTGGAAAGGTCAAGTTGATAGCAATCCACTCGGCCAGACGCCTCCATAACCAAACAAAGAAACCCCAAACCAAGATTTCAATCACTTTGAACACAGCTTTGCACGTTCAACAAAAATACGAAGAAAATCACTTGATCAATGCCGAGGTTAATAGAAAGTCGGTCGTGGCAGTTACTGCAAGAAGGTTTTGCCTTACCAATGTCGCTGTTATCCAAAAATTCTACATGGGATCAGACCACCGCCTCCTTCGTGCAAAATTCCATTTTTCGCAGAAAGGAGAAAAGGCCACTAAATTCAAAAAAGGAAGTCCCAAAACCACAAAAGAACCTGGGGTTTATTCAATTAGTTAGCCTGCTGTTGGGAAGATACCGTTGTCGACAACATCGATGAAGAATACGATCAGCTCATTCAACATCTTCGCGTTAGCGTTATGAAAGCTGAGACTCGAAAATCACTAAGAGACGTCTCGCCCAATAAACACACGAACTATTGCGTCAGTGTGGAATCGCACGAGCAACCGCCAACTCACATCCGAGCTTGGAAAACAATGCAGACAAACGATAAAAGAAGATCTTAAAGAGAGAAGGGCACCAGTTATGGTCGAAGCTGTAGAGGGTGGCAAACGCGGAAAAGCAACCACGAAGCCCAGCGAAGCTTAACAAATTACAGAATCAAGACGATTGCACTCCGACTGCCAGACGGAAAAGTTACAGCGTCCAGAAAGGCAATGGAGAAACCATTGACGGTCACTACTCAGATCTCTGCGATAGCCACTTCCACCTTCCGTCATATGGAATAAAGGAGGATGAATATGTTGCACCACCGGTTCTCCCGAAATCCGACATGCCATTTCGTCGGCGAAAAATCGAACAGCACTAGGTCCGGACAGGATAAGACCAGAACACCTGAAGAAATTTTCACCAGTCCTCTTAAATACACTGGAATAGTGGCCTCCGAAGGAGGCGAAATCCACCGAAAAGTTAAGTTTACAATAATGAAGAATAAAGTAACACATCTTATTTGCTCAAGAGTGACTGTACGTCTTATAAAGAACAAAACAGTGAGTCATAACCACAATGATGCTGAGATATTTGCAAAACGCAGGATCGCAGGTGCTGCGGTAGGTATCGAACACGTAGTTACCATTTCCAATGGGTAAAGCTTTCCCACCACGCCATATGGGTCCTCGTTTGGCCTTTCTCTCAGCCGTGCTTTTAATTTACAGGTGCTATCAGCAATCATCCGCCAACTGGATTGATCCGGCAAGCTGAAGCTGTAGTATGAATCACTATGTAATCACTTTCTATTCACTGCCTATTCTTCTACATGGCAAGGTGTGATGTGAATTGTATCCACAATGATGCTGAAAACAGTGAGTATTCAAAAGGATCTGTTTACCATGCAATTGAAATTTTGGTGTTGAGTATTGTCTGCTGAGGTTACGAAAGTGTTCGACTGAGTAAATTGCGTGTCCCTTTGTTCTGTCCAGGCTCTGAAGGAGGCAAAATCGCCGAAACGTCAAGAAGTATTGGGTTAACTGTGTTGTTAATAATTTGGTGTCTGCTCAGAAACATAACTGTTTTAGGAGATCAGTACAATGAAACATAACCCCACGGTAATGGAACCCATCAAACCGTTGCGATAGCGCAAGGGGCAACTTTATCAGGTTTTCATCAACGTAAAATGGACCGATTATCTCGATAGAGAAACAAACGGCATGGAATTCCTAGAAAACCGGAGCTTTCCTACTCAATACATAACAGTCCTTCATATGCTACCCAGCAGCTTCATGACCTGAACCAAGTCATTCTGGAAGGTTATGTCACTGTCATCGTAGAAATTATATGTCAAAAGAAAAGCTACGGATGTCGAACGCATGTGTAAGAGTAAATTGCGAAGCTCCAAAAATTGTGGATTGTAAAGTGAATGTATTTGAATGAAACATCTACAAAACTAGCGAAAAATTGTGAAGGCCAGAAATGAGGATATGTGATGCCTCGTAAGACCTGCGCTAGATAACGATTTGCCACCTGATGTGCCAAAGAGATGTTAATACGACCTGACATCCACATATTCTATGGATCCGAGCAGTTCGTACATTTCATGCGTTTTCTTGCACCCGTCATCCGCTAACGTCTTCAAACATTTTTTTTACATATGGATTCGAGTGCTGCCTGAGGATTTTTCCGCCTTTACCAGGAATATCGTTGAACGCTGGTCAAACCGACTTCTCCTAGAATCCTAAGATAGTCATACTAACACAATCCCACGAAGACTTGAGGCAGTAAGCTGGTTCCAAGCGGGCCTGATGCCGTTTTTTGACCTCAGGAGATCTGAGACTTGATAGATCTGAAGCATGGTCGTGCCAACGTCTGTATTGGTTGCGTCTTCCTCGAACACGTTATCAAAGCGAAAACCAGTCGGTGAATCTAAGTTGGGCTGTATGAATGATGAATGTTCAATGGTTTCGTAGATCTTGCAGAGTAATATATCCGCTGCAATGAGTGTAGCGCAAAGGTTGAAGGTACCGCGCAATACACACGTGGTCGTTAACTGGATAGCCTGTCATGAATTCACCAAACCTTATATTCCCCGCATTCAGCAGTTTAGTACCACACTAGTCTGGTTAAGCAAAAGGCATGACTGCTACATCGGTAGGCCATTACGATCTGTTGAATAGAGCGAATGTTCCATCCACTCCATCTATGGTGCTTGATGGAGTATAATACATCAAGCATTCCTAAGGAATTCATCAAACGCTGAACGTTTTATTGCTTTATATGTTTGCTTTCCTTTTTCTTTACTACAGTCGTTTTCAAACAAATAACCTCCGTTGGCCGTTACTCTTTGCGTCATACCAACACTTGGTATGATCATACCCACACAACAACGC